AGGAGAATACAGGTCCCAAAATAGAGAATTTAAGGAAGGATGTGGAAGAAAGGGAGTAGCAGGCGAATAACTGGTATGAAATGAACCGCCGAAATAAGGGCAGGCATAGGTAGCAGCACAGAACAATAAAATATGAGACAAATTATGCGTAAATATGAAATAACGTATAGTGGAAATAGCAGCACAGAACAATAAAATATGAGACAAAAATTATGCGTAAATATGAAATAACGTATAGTGGAAAAAATCAAGCAATTTCTCTGAAATCGATCAGGTCAGCGATACCCACGATTCGCGTCATCACAGAATGTAATAATCCACAGCCGCCGTGTGATCCCTGCGCAGCCTGTAATCAAACTGATCAGAATTCATGATAAATTAGATGGAAAATAATGCTAAATTATTCCGTCTGCCATTTGCTTCCTATTTTCGTGAAAATTCAACATTATCGCGACGAACTATTCCGTTAGTAAATACTAGTAGAACAAACCAACTGAACATGAAATATTGCCATACATAGGCTCCTTTAATGATGATCAGGGATACAGCCATCAAACTACTGTATCTAGATTAAGACAGGAAAAGTCCAAAATGAATTTGCTTCAAAAAAGACTAGCAGAAAAACTTGTAGAAAAAGACCTTCTAGGCTTGCAGCAATTCAGACGTCAGCGAACTATAGTAATTCCATTATAGATGTCTGTATAATTCAACACTAAACATTTTCAGAAATAATTAGAAAAATAAGACAGAAAACTGTAATCTTTCAATTCTATTTTATTTTCTTACTTTCCTAAAATGCTTGTAATTGGTTCCTTGGTAGTAACCGGTCAAGTAAAACTGTGATCTATCTTTCGCCAGAATCGGCCTAGTCAAATTCTCGTACTGCACTGCTTTCCTCTGGAAATAGAAAATACGCTGCTTCAAATAATGCTTATCAACTAAGACGATCAACAGGGTATGGAAGAAAGAAGCTATAGCTTCCCCTAAAAAAGGAGAATTTTCGAGGACATGAACCGCTGACTGACCAATTTCATACGCAATACTTCAATATTCGTTCCGAGGGTTCGATCATTTTCATCAACATTTACTTCACACTCCGTTCTATTTTCGATTGGGCTTTCATTTTTCTCCGATTCCTGCAAAACAATGACTGGAACAGACCTCCTGTTAACATAACAATTAATAAAGGCTTAAAACCGATATTAACTTGTCTTTTGTTTCCATCCACTACTAGTTCTATCTTCACTCGTTTAGAAGCTACCAGCATTTCGTCCGCATCACTTTGATTTCCTGCAGAACATCACTCTTATTGATATTGTTTAAACATTTGTGAAAATTCTGATTGAAGTAACAGGAGAAAATTAGAACTTGTCCCCACTAGTTGCAACAATACGAAAACAGATCATAACTGGAAAGTAACATAGTTCTCAACATATTATACTTTTTTCACAATTATCGAACTGATTGCTTCGCTTTTTGGTAGTATTCATATCAATCCAGGAAGTTGACCCAGTCACAATAGTCTCCTGTCCACTAATAACCTGAAATATGAAAATTTGCACAGAAATTTATTCGAATAAATAGCGTCTTCGGAAATGTAATAATCCTATATTATGCGTATTACCTTCGGAGACATTGGATGCCTCTCCTTCAACACCGTTTTGGATAGAAGATCGCAAAATTTCCCACCCACACTCTGCAGCTCCAAAAGGTTAAACTGTCCAGTATGGAAAATCGAGGTGTTGCTCTTTCCGATAGTTGACACTTCATTTATACTTCTTGTGAGTTTTCTTTGGAAAGATGTTAACTGAGCACTGGAATAAGTATGAAAACTTTGCTTCTCGATGGATAAATTAAGGAAAAATTGAGTTTCTCCGGAACGTACTTTTAATAATACCATACTAATAGCCTGACTAGCCTTCATAGATGGAATTATCTGATTATCACTGATGGTCTTAACACTTTTGAAAATGGCTGCATGACTAAATTTAATGTGCAGCACCATCATAACGCGAAGTTATGCATCTCTGAATGACAAGAAGTCTGGATCGAACCAGAAAAGAAACCTGTTGAATAGAGGTTTGGATAACTTTTTTGTATCAATATCATCCAGTGTTTCATGCCCTTTAGCTTCAGCAAATATAGAAAGATTCGTTGGATATTTAGGCATAATTTTCATTGACTTATGCACTTTAAACAATTCATCAGCTTCCTCTGAAGTACTGCTGTGTGCCATCCTAAAAAAACCTAGGGCATTTCTGATACCACAAACTTCGTAGAAAATTTCTTAAAATGAAAAAATACTGACTTTTTCGAAAGGAATGAAATGTCTGCGGTTGGGAAATAAGTGTCTTGAACAACATTACAGATCCTTTTGTTACCTAGAATTAAAAGTATTGCAATTGACTCATAAAAATTAGGGACATGACATACATAGCTATAATTTTAAATTCAATCTTACCTGAATTATATCGCAGTGAGACTCTTGCAGCTGTGCCTATATTTCGAGAGGAATCAACCATGGCGAACATAGGAACTTTCGACTTGTTTTGTCTATTTTCTCTAAATTATATTTCTTAATCTATAGAAAAACAGATTCGCCATGTATACGTTTCTTTAAAAAACAAGTGATCTAACTATATTAACACCAAGATGCTAAATGCTATTTCAAATTTTGATACGCTGTGGATAGGTTTCGGTATTTGTAAATCTTTTTGTACTCAAAATGAAAAGAAAGCGTTCAGCAAAGAAGTTAATAATAAACAAGTACAAGCTTGTATCAAATACTACATTTACCGAAACGAAAATGAAAAAAAAGATAGAAGATAAAACTTACTCACTGTCTTCGTCATCCGAAGGTAAAAAATCAGTAATTCTTCGATAATAAGCGAGCTTTACACTGGAGAATAATTCAGAGAATATTACCCATATAGTCATGCAAATAAAAACACAAAATAATGCAATACATACCTATTCATTCTCTCTTTTACTTCTTTTCCCATTTTTGCAACCAATTTTCTATCCTTCAAAAACACAGTCCGATAAAATCCAAGCAAATTACTTTTGATATTACTGATATGGAGATTTTAGTGATCGAAAGACACAGAATCAAATTCAGAATGACAGGAAAGGTGGACAAGAACTTTGTGAACTTACCTGCTCTTGTATCCAAGTTCTATCCGTACTAAGGCCTGAATCTGTGTGAGCAACAAGTTTACCCTGCATCTGCAAGACTTATATTCATGAAACTAACTGTTCTTAAAATTATAAGTACCGAAATCAATTAAAAACATATCCTGGCATATGGATAAAGATCAGAATGAAGAATACTTTAGTGCTTTTAGCAACTTCTCTTTCTGAAAGGTTCATCACAGTAGCCAATTTCTCCACTATAGTGTCCACCACTTTCCTTTTTTTGGCGACACATTCCTCCTCTACTACTACTATTGCTTTGTTTGACGCTAATCTCTTTCGTGAATTAATCTAAAAATTACGCGCATGAATATTTCAAAAAAGCCGTGCTTTTGCACGATTCTATCAGCTATATAATATGAAATTGTTTACGATGAAGCAGAAAAATGAGAACAGCGTGGTAAGAATTTGACAATGACTGACGTTTAGCAAAAGAAAAAGCCCTCTGGAAAAAAAGAAACGAAATTAGGAGTAGCAATCACTTCTGCAATCCTCAGAAATGGGTTTGCAATTGTTTCTTCTATACACTCCTGTTTAACGTTCTTCTCCTCGATAATGAAAAAGAAACTGCCAATCTGCAACAGCTAGCTGAGAGAGAAAAATATTCCATAAAAACTTAAAACACACCAATTCCATTTTTCTATAGATACAAAATTCATCCCTGATACGTAACATAACAAATTACTACGTCACGAAGAGATTTTTATTCCAACTATTACATTAAAGAGAGGGGTACTATTAATCATTTATTTCCTTTCTGAACTTAATAGATTTTTCCTTATGAAGAATTAGTCGACAAAAAAATCAAATTTAACAATATTTTATTTCATGTAAAATATGTAAGGCCAGTGTTTTTCGTCTTTGCTTGCACAGGCTACTGCTTTTGTCTGAGCATAATAGCATTTGAAGCAAAAAAAAAAAATTGAAAATAAGATTGTTTCGATCACCATTTGAAACTAGGTCACAGAATAGTGAACAAAGATAGACTTAATTAAATGAGTGGGAGGGAATGGAAAAGTAAAGCTTTTTTTCGCCACGCACTGTTTTTAGAAAGATTAATCCAGTTACTACTTAATCTAGTCACTATTAATCCAGTCGTTATAAGCTGTTTAAGGATAAATTATGAAGAAGAGGATCCACAATAATATAAACTCCTTAACCCAAATAAAGAAAGAGGGGAATGGTCAACTCAGAATAGCAAAAAATGACACAATACTTCTTTTTTCAAACTATTGTTCTGTGTTTTGCAAAATGTTTCTTTTTTCAGACACTCTTCTACGCTTTGTAAAATTAAATCCAATCTTCTGAATCATTTTCAAGTGAAGAGTTTTCTTGTTTCAACATCTTTAAGACAATTCTTAATATACAAAGTAAAAAAAATGTGGTTTTATAAACCAGGCGTCAAAACGCCTGTTAAAAAAATTCGAAAAGTAGCGGTGACAATGATTCAAAAGTTTCTTACTTGTAAGACCACGAAAGGTTTCAGCTCCTTTTCTCTCTCTATCACAAAAGGCCCACCATCGTAACCAGTACCATAGGTACTTATGTCTCGAACAAGTAACTAAAATGTCTACGGGCTGTTATAACAGATTAAAAACGGAGTGATTAGAAAGCATCACACCAAATCTGAAGTCAACTTAACATTAAGATAGTAGGAAACTTTCCCCAAGTGTTCTTAATGAAAACTTACGCAACCATTTGACAGCAGTTCGAGTTTCAAATGAATTCGACTTACGCCCTGAGCATTAATACCAAGCGCAATCTTACACTGGCGCTTATCTCGACCGATACAAACACTATCACCCACCTTTGAAAAGCTGTAGAGGATTTCATCTGCAATCAAAAGACTTGCAGCTCGCAGTTGGCTGCGAAGTGCATACTTAAACCAGACTAAGTCATCCTGTCGGTGCAAAGATATGTCTCGCACCACAACACTAACAGTCGCTCCAGAGTTCACCTTCTCAACAGTAACAACTGAATTGTGAAATTCGCAGATAGAAGCCTTTAACATCCTCCAAAACTACTATTCTACCTATTAGGATATTGTGTATTCTACCCATTAGGATATTGTGCGCAGCTGTATTAACATAAATTAGAACACAATTCCTTTGACCATGAATTCTAGACGTACCTGGTTTATCACGATACGAAATCGTTACAACCATTGCCCCATTTGCCAAGTGGAAGGTGTCTGTAAACGTAAGGAATCTCAATTATTGTTGCAGACAATACATTGCCACCTTCCTTCCTATTCTCTCAATGAATATTTAGTATATCTGTCACAATTCTTTTCTCTAACTAGAAAACAACCATCACATAGCTCCGGATCTTCAAAGGACCTCAATCAAATGGAATAGAGAGGCCAATAAGGATGTACACTTTTCATTTCTTCCAAAAAAAATACGAGGAAAGAATATAGATCCTAGCCATCCATCCGTATCATCTACCATGAGCCCTTTATATTCACTCAAATCAAACGTGAATAAAAAATGCAATATCTCACGTACTTCCCTTCCACAACTTTTACTCAATAAATGATAAATGTAAATGATACGCGTACATATGGTTATTTTATTAAAACGTAAAACTCCTTTCACTACCATTTTACTATGGTTTCAAAAGTAAGTTTGAATTCGGAACAGAGAGATCTTCAGATGTAATAACAGAGAGATCATAGAATGAACTTTGTGAAAAGATGCTTATCAAAAAAAAAAATTTTATTGTTTTTCAAGTACATCACAACATTAACATGAAACAATAGTCATAAACAGATCATTGAAATAAATTCTCTTAGAACTGAATAACCTGAAAAGAAATGAATTCACAAAGGGTAAATCAAGTGGGTAAATAAAAAAATGAATTTCAGGAACAAACAAACTCATTTAGAGTGGAAAATCTTGCAGTAACAAATGAACCAGCTTCCTATCCTGACAGCTCTTATCATTCTTACTCCCTCCTTTATCTATACTATTATGCTATAGACATTTCAAAATAAGATAAAATATCCTCAGGTATAATTCAAAAACTGTATAATTCCTCAAGTATTTTAGTAACGAATATGAGTGACATCACAATTTACCTGTCCACGTGTTTTCTTTTGACCGCCTAGTTCAAAATGTTTGCATCGCTTGATTGGCAACTGCTTGCGGTGCTTACATTCCGTACACTCCATTCTCAGAACAATTTTCTTCGTTGTTTTTGCTTTTTTCCTAAAAATCGGCTTTGTCTGACCACCAAAACCTTTCTGTTTGGAATCGTAACGTCGTCTACCTGGAGTAAAGAAGAAATAATTAAAAGCAACGGCAACAGAACCGGACTATTCCCGTAGCACTTTCAATCTCAACAGCAAGTCACTAAGTACAACGATGTAACATGAGGTGCGCAGCGTAATATTCATGGATATCGAGTTTTTCATTGAAGATTACTGATAACGGAACTTACCCTGTGCAAGCCTCGATTCTTTGCCCTTCTTGTACTGGGTTACTTTATGCATCGTGTGTCGACGGCACTTCCCATCGCAAAATGTCCGCCGTGTTTTCGGAACGTTGACCATTTCGATTACACCTGCAAAGTATTCAATCAATTCCATTGAAATCTCCAACAGAAATGTCAGCACGTTCACAACACAACGCATTATCCTAACAAACCAATATAAACCACCGCAAACCAATCGCTGAGCAACTGCGAAGTGCCACTAGGTGTTGCAGGCGTAAATAAGAATTGTGGCTATAGTTACCTTGAGTGGATGAATGAAAAGTGATGATGGGGTAAATATAATTATCTGGCAAGATTGTAACAGTGTTCGCATAAGTTAGCAGAAAACAAAACTCAATATTTCCTCGACGCACTGACGAGAAAGAAATTTCACTATGACCCTGTGTAGCATTGTATTACACTGATCAGATAGAGTCGTTCGCAACTGTTTGGACTGAATACCTTTTAAATTTCTGAATTGCTTTGAAATTTGCATATTTGGAAGAAATAATGTATGGGCGACATTAATTATGCCATTGGTATAAAGTGAACGATGGATAGACGGTCTACAGCCTGTATCATTCACGTATCATTTTTCCTCATAACGATTGCATTAGCTTCGTTGGACATGGTAGCTGGGCATCTACAGCAAGTATTCCTGAGAGAGAAAGATGCTACTTCTGGCCTACCAACGGTTAGTATTTAGACGAGAAATCTGAGTTAGAGAAGGGTTGGCTGCTCGGTAAAGGAGGAATCACAGAGCTTGTCGGTTCCTTCTGTTGATAACAAACTTGACAGGTTGTGGAGTTTCGAACATTACTGATTTCTCATCCTATTTTTAGACTGGTATATCATGTAGATTATCTCAACTTCCAATCTCATAAACAACTCATACCTAAGCATAAAAAGCTTTGATACTTTCAATGTTATTGGGAATGGTTCTATTTCGCCTACACCTCAGTCATTTCCTGGGAGTCTTCAAGGTTACGGATATTTCGTAAATATTGTCGGTAATGTCGTAGGAAGGAATGCTGAAAAGGTTTGAATTCATTTCAGAAATGCGGCACGTACGGACAAGAGCTTTTTTGCCTTTCTATCAATTTATGCAACAAGGCAAGTTCACAAACCTTGTTAACCATATACTATTTTTAGTAACGACGCATTCTACTTGTTTCATACATTTGCTTCTATCGGCATCATTAGTACCAACTTCATACTACTGCTTCCGCCCATTAAGGATGATAATCAGTGATGCATTTCATGTTTACTTCTCCTTTACAGTACTGCTCAGAGCAGTGCTCGAAAATCTCGTCTTTCGAATTGCGCAACTTACAAATTTTGTCTCCAGAGGAAAGACGCATTCAGAAGCTTCGCTATGATGTTCCTCTGGATACTAATCTTCGTATTAACTATTACGATATTGAGGTTCTCACTGTTCGATACGTAGTCCTCGGTTTTTACGACTTTTACTTAATAGTTCTGAAAGCAGTTTACCTTTCTGAACTTGAAAAAGTAGTTAGTTCAGAAGAAGGTAAGGTAGGATATGTAAAAACTACTTCCTTAATTTCATCTTCTTTGCTGAAAGCAGTATGAAACAAACGCTAGTGACAGAAATACGGGAGTCTATCCAGAAACTGTTTAAGTTTTAAGATGGAAGGCATGAAGCCAGCATTCTGCGGTAACTACTTTACTCTTGAGATGCCTATTTATTCCATAAAAGAATCGAAATCAAACGGCATTCAATTCCTTCGCAAGCTTTATTTTCAAAACTACCGAGACATGTACACGCACAGCGCATGCAACTATAAATGTGTTTTTGGTTGTCGACGAATGGGGTATGATAAGAGGATAATGACGGAATTGTTGATTCGTAATATATCTGGCCTGCACCTGTATCAGTGCGACAGGTACACTATGATTGTTCTTGTTTCGTGGATGTTTCTCATACGTACAACATAGTTTCATCTCCTCACAGACGAAGACTCACAACAATCATAGCCAGATGATGCCTCTTTTTCATTTATTGGCTGAAGTATGTCACAAAATTTCGCTACATAACTTGCATTATAACCCATCTTATCAGAATATCATATAGAAGTATCATAAAAATTACAGCGTGCATTCTTGGGTCTTCATCGCAGTTGTGATCGTTGTATTCATCATCCTTTTGATCCTCACAACATTTTTTGTGAGAAGTGAAATGTCGAGCATTCGTGGTACCCACTTTCAAGCTTTGTTCTAACGCAATTCGTTATTTACGCATGGCTGGATGCTGTGAAAATCGGTGGGAATCATCTACATATTTCAGGAACCACAAAAGAAGTAAACGTGCGACACTGATTAGACTTCGTATCTTTTTCACCTTCTTGTTCATTAAAATCAGCAATCGTACCCCAGAGCTATTACATTCATATGCTGTTATTGAAATATCAATTTCGTGATTTATTGTAATTCGAGATAACAAGTAAGAACATAGAATAGCTGTTCCTCTGTAAAAAGCAATTGCTCATTTTTTTCCGAAATATAAAATACAGAGATCAAGAGCTGAACTTAAAAATGACACCCTGTTCGGGTGGAATTGTGACGGTGCCACTGCTGAGATCGATCACTTGATGGTAATAGTACTGCTCTGCATTGCTACTAAACGCGAATACCATTACCTGATGAATTTCCTTATTTTCCATAACATTTGATTCCTGGATTGGCAGTGCTGTATCAGCTTTACCAAAATTAAATGCTCCCAAATAGGTCTGAAAATAAACAAGTATATCCAATACACCTAAATTTCTTTATGACACATCGTACTGAATAACTGCCAAATTCTTTCCTTTCGTCAAATAGTATATAATTACGTTTCCAATGGGAGTTTTCTCAGCTTTAACGTATCTGGTAATCGTGAAGGAACTGTTCATCAGTTGTCCAATGATAGTGCGTCCAGAATTAAGCGCCTCATCTCTTCTTCTCAATCGAGCAATTTTTTGGAATGTCTTCAGTTGTGAGTGTTGAGAACTATACTGTCTCTAAAATTTATGACATTATTCCATACTAATTCAATTGAATTCTAGAACTCGTCGTTCTAAAACGTAAGGATTGTTTATTATATCGGATGGGGTTCATATCATGACCATCTCTAACGATCGTTGCTTGACTTACTAACTGATCGTCAATTTGGATGATAATGAACTTTCTACAACAACTGAGACAAAAAAAAAAAAGAAAAACCTTACGGCCCAGTTATTGTCTGCAAAATCAGGATGAACCATGATGCTTGCTGAAATGGCATTTGAAAACCCAGCATTGGCAGAATCATCCCATTGCATAGCACCTCTTTGAACTGGTACCTACAAAGAAGCATACACCTTCCTCAGAATCTGAAATGTTTTGCAAAAAACAGAGCAAGATCATGCTTACTAATTTCTCAGTTGGTAAATCCATCATCCCAATCTCATCACCATAGTAGATACTGCTAGTGCCAGGTAAAAGTAGCTGCAACATGGTTAACAGTTCGGCTTGTTGCTGCGATTTAACACGAGAAGCTATCCTTGAGAGATGTGGATTACCGAACTGTAATTAGATTTATCCCGTCATCAACTGAACAACCGCAAAATATCAACATGTTAGCACACGAGAATGAGAAAAACAGTGAAAGAAGTAGCTTAAAAATTACAGCTTGAAAAAGATGATCACTGTATAGAAAGCAATCTCCAGAGGTGCTCATCATTTTCTCCGCAATGTCACTGCGATAGTCGCCTTATGCAAACCACTATTTTAAAACGCATATATGATATCAGTTAAATACAGTTTTAACAACCGCTTGTCAAAAGGGTTCCGATGAGGTACTGATGGATGATATGAAAGATCCTTAGTTTTACTATAAGAACCGAAAATAAAAGTTACCTCCCACACCGCAGAGATATTGTTTGTTGCATGAAACTGTACCAGTTCTGTAACTATTTCATGAATGCATTCAGCAACATTGCCCTCGGCAAAATTGCAAATCTTATTATCTTTCCCAATGCTTCCCAATTCGTAATCAACCACTAAATTCAACCCACTCAGAACCAGTTCCTTCTTGTCGTTTTCCCTCGCGTTATCACGCGCAGCGAATAATACACTGAAAATGAATTATTTCTTTATAATTAAAGGAATACTTGGTAAGCAAATAAATTTTGTGAAGCCTTGTTCAGAAACCAGCCAACATTTTACGACCAAAATGCGAAATTTGTTTTTTATAGTTGCATTGAACTGTAAAAAAATTTCTTCGTTGGAATTCTCTTACATCTGTTTGGTTTTACTCACTGAACCTTTTTCCACGTAAGTATCCACATGATTCCTGATATCACGAAGAATATCCACGATACGTGGCCAGTCCTAAATAAAGTATGCGACAATAGATGCATTGATTCAGAAGCATAAAGTGGGATAATAAAGGAGTACTCTGATTTTTTCCAAAACTGTTTCTTCCCCATGATATGGCATTTGAAATAGAGAGATGTGCAAACAAACCGCCATAGATCCGGATTTCATGCGTGCAAGATATTCGATCCCACTGAGATAGAATCCATCGATGCCCTTATCTATCCAAAAGGACATTATTTTCTACAAATGAAGAAATTTAAAAAATAACTAATACCTGACCGTTTTCTTAAATTTTTTACCTTTACCTTCCCATCATTCTCAGATGCATAGCATTCGATTCAAACAAGGCTAGAAAGGAAGTAAAAACTAAATAGCAAAAAATGAAAGAGTAGCTGCAAAAAATTGCTTTCAGCTGATCTGACCTAAGCCTCATATCTGATGCAATAGTTGGCATGGTTTGATGCCGAGATCATAACAATGAAACTTACGAACATATTCTCCTGAACAAAAGTATTTTGCCAATTTAGAATAGGCCAATTAGATCGGTTTTCGAAATGCATGTAGAAGGCGTTCTTATGTTTCGACATGAAAAAACCGTGTTCAACGGTCTTCCTCCAGTGATAATAACCCGAAAAATTTGCGTATTGTTCCAAACTTGCTTGCGAACTTTGACGATACCAGTCGTGATCTTTTGATGTAACACTCACTGGTAAGCTTACCACAATTTTCATTCCTATAATAAGGCTAATTCTCACATTTACATTCTCACATTTACTTTGTTTTACTGCATTTCTTCCGTTTTAATCCATAAACTTTTTTCTACATATTAGTTCTGCTATATAATAATCATTTCCTCTACATAGTAAAAAACTCAATTTATTTCTATATATAAGAAGATTCACAAGTTTAATTACGGTACCTTTATCGTGAACGGCATCGATCAATTTATAAGCATCATCATTTATACCCAGTTTTGGGTCGACCGCCAAATGATCTCGAACTGCGTCGTTGAAATCATCAGAATGTAAAAATGGATTGAGCCATACAACTTGGACACCTAAACGACGCAAATTTTCGAGACGATTGGTAAGACCAATGAAATCACCAACGCCACTCGCATCCGAATCTTGAAACGATGGTGTCCAAATCTTAAAACAATACTTGTAAGCAATTATCTTTACGAAACTAACTCCGGCATTAAAATTCCCCTTCCTTCAATCCGTGAATGAATGGAATTAAATGAAAAGCCATTAAAAATAAAGAATTTGGAAATTAAAAAGCTTTTACCTGATAAATGATGGCATTCTCCCACCAGTTTGACGCTGCTCTGAGAGCACAACCTGGGCTGAGGATAACGATAAGAACGGCGATCACGAACATCGAAATCCATAACAACCAAAACAAGATGAATAGCAACCATCTACGGTAAATTCAGATTTATGATAATAAATTTCTAAACAAAATAAAGAAACCGCTTTCTGTTTCTTTTGTGTTAAAAACAAACAGTAGTTCTGGTTAAAAAAAACTGATATAGATTGCTTATATAATGACCGTACGAATGATTTTATATGTCATGCAGATTGTTTCCATTACGCATAATCCATTATTCATTATGCATAATGGAAACAACCTGCATGACATCCAAAAGAAGTGAGCCTACAATGCTAGCAATCAGATCATACTTTCCGATTGGATTTTCCGAAATGTTCGAACAATGAACAAAAGGTTTACAGGAATCACAAATTTTCGGGATATTTCCAGTAGCAGGGAATATCTGGATCACTCAAGCATTCAAATGACAGAATCTGAATTAATATTGAATATCTCTAGTATAAACGAAGGAAGAAATATTCGAATCAAATAACCAAAACAAAACGAAAAACAACATAACGAAAGCATTACAGCGGATTTTGAAGATGAGCTCATCTATCTTAAAATGTAACATCACAAGACGGTCGCAATTCGAAAAAAAAGTGATAACCTCAAAGTTTTCCAAAAAGGATCGTTTCTATAGCGCTCCATTTCTGCAATAGTGTACCTAAACTTCTTTCCTAATTTCGACGCTACAGACTCATCTTCAAGAAGAGGCGCACAAGCACGCATTTGGATGCCATCTTTTGATTCATCCACAGAGATCGTTTTTGCGTCCTGCATTTTTTAGTATGAAGAGATATTCGAGATAAAGACATATTTCCCGGTTATAGGGATATAATTTAATGTAAAAGACAATCCATTAAGACTCAGATATCCCGCTATTCAACTAAATATTCGCTGCAAGACACGAACCCATATTACAGAGACTATCTTATGAAGATTCACTTCTTTCCTTAAAAGTTGGTACTTCACGTAATCACATATCTCCATGCTTTCCTTTCTACCCTTGACTTTATAGACTTGGGGAAGCGTTTTGTTATCTCTGAAGATCTAGATTATTTCATGTACTTCATGTAGATTTGCATAAACCGACCGCTATTCACTGACGAAAAGTGATGCAATTCCAAGCAAAATTATGTTTTATTTCACATTTCAATACACAAACGTGCATCTAAATTTCCTTTTCTACTTAGATCAAACCAAAAACAGTTTCATATACTCAAATCAGTGGTCTCACTAACTAAATTCACAAATTTTCAAAATTGCCGTCTCAACTTCTGCTCGGCTGGAAATGAAACGAAATTTAGCCCTAGTAATCTGTTCGACAGTAGAGAAAAAATTGAACTTGAACCTTGTGGTCGTTTCCACGAACTGCAGTGACATAGCTCTCGGTATGCCGTTCTTTGTCTACTTCATACGTTCTGGGCATCTTTCCTTGGGGACCTGGCAATATGGTATCTCCCATTACGTCAATGAAAATAATGCCAGCTCCTACTGAAAACAGCAAAATGTAAAATGGAATGGATACAAAACAAACTATTCGTTGATCTTTAACGTCCCATCCATCTACTCACACATCTTTCTCTAAGAACACTAACTCAATGAGAAAAAGTATATATATATATATATATGCGTGTGTTTGGAGTATGAACTATGAACCTTCGCATCACTTCCGTCGCCATCGTACGGGAGAAGTTTGTGAATTATCCTGCAGGGAACATATGTCTCCGGTAGGGTCTCCAATGCCGGAGAAGCCTCAACTGAAGGGTCAAACGAACTTCACACTAATCTCCCGACAACCATTCTAGCTCACTAGCCTCCTGACAACCATCCCAGGAGAACAACTCTACCTCTTAATCCGGAGAGATGAAGCTCGTTTAACCCTATAAGGTCATCCATCTTACTCTGACGAAATCTACGTTTTGGAGACTTCACTGTCACCGTCTTGGCTTACTAAGGCCTGGTAGATGAACTTTGGAAAAGGTGAACCAGTTCCGCGCACGTTATGCCTCACCTAAAAAAATCCTCTACGCAAGCTGGAAGGATACATCCACATTTGCAGATTTGCAGCAAATATGAGTAGAGGCCTAACGAAATCCTGGTTCGCGAAGCCTAACTATGAAAGTGGTATTCTTTGTGAGACTGAAATGAATCTGCCAAGACGGTGCTATTTTCGATATTGTTGTTTCTCAATGGAATACGAAACAGATATAGCACTTCACACCCACTCACACGTGCACATAAAAATTTTCATAGCTAGGCTTAACGACGACTTGAGAAGGGCTCTAACCACGCTTGTTGCAAACTTTACAAATGTGGATGTATTCTTCCAGCCTGCATAGAGATTTTTAGGTGAAGCACAGCATGAACGGAAATGGTCCACCTTTTGTTGGTCCCACTTTTTCCTTTTAAGGTTCATCTGTCAGGACTTAGCAAGTGAAGTCCTCAGGACATAATTTCGTTAGAATGTCCTCTCCTAGAATAAATTGTCTTACAGAATTAAATGAGTCTCATCCTCCGGGTTTGGGATTGGAGTTATCCTTCTTTTTAAGACAGTTGCTGGAGGCTAGCGAGCTCATCCTACTCGTGGACATATTTTGTCTGACCCTTCAGTAGAGTCTTGTCTGGCGTGGGAGACCCTACCAGAAGCACATGCCACCGGCAGGATAGCTCGCAAACTTCGTCCGTACAATTGCAATAGGGATGCCGCGGAGAATATACGCAGCAAAATAACAGTATTGACAGAGAGATTAAACTAGACAATACCGCCATGAAGAGTTCATAGTTCACACTATGAAAGGGTAGACATTTGCAGTTTGAACTGTGAACCCTTTTTTTGTATGAACTATAAAAAGCTTATTGTGAAAGGTAAGGGAATAATGAAACACAATCAAGCGAAACAAAAACTACGAAGACATTAGTAAACTATGTTTGAACCAACCAGATAGGGATTGATGTTGTTGGTAACGTTAATCTACGATTATGTCCGATACAAATTAACGCAACTAACAGAGCGCACGACTACTAAAAGATGGGAGAGTTCAGCAATCGGAAGTGCTATAATACTAATCGAAATTACGAAGTCAATCAGTAGCGATGGCAACTGGTAAGAGGTGCGTGTAGATAAGAAAGACCATATACAAATCATTTCATTTCGAAATCAACAGTATATATAGGGACTGGTAAACTTTCTTTCAGAAGATTACTACTTACTGATTCTCTGTAGTGCTTTATCTCTTCACGTATTATCACTTCTTTATAACTTCATCTATCCATGATTTTTTTTTACTCATAACTTATGACCTTATTTACTTGCGACCTTTCTTATTTAAGTATTCTTAAGATAATGGAAAGAAATCCAAATCCATTTACAAACAGTCTATTTGTAAATGGAAATATAAAAATGTAAATAAATTGATAGATGACTAACTGAATGGATAGTAAGAGCAGTATGCTTTGAAACTGAAGGCAAATCAATAAGTGAAATTGATCGATGAGAAGTAGGCCCACATATATCCAGATTTCTCTCGGTGTTAAAGAAGGAAGAAAAAAGAAGCGAAAAGGAGAGAGCGAGGACAACAGGTGGAAGAACGAACGTAACAAACTCATCTGTCACCTTATTCAAAGGTTGAAGATCGGTCAATGCTGCGACCAGGTTAAGACCCATGCTTAATTACAAATATGTCTTCTCCGCACAAATTCTCAGCTTCAGTGAATACTTTCTTTGACCATCTAGGATACGAGGAGGGTTGAGTGAGAGAAACGGAAAAGTGAGAAATAGCTAGGGTATTAGGCAGTTGCTTGTTTTCCGTCAGTATCAATGAAGTATGACAGTAAGTTGATGACAGATCTTACTGCCACATCAATCAAAGAAAAAGTGAAAAAAATGTTGACGTCGAAGATAAACTCTATGCTTAAATAATATTATGATATTCTTACACGTTTCAACGTCACTCACATCATACACGAGCAGTACATGGACTGGAACTTCATAAACGAACTTGTACGAATGCAAAAAAAAAGGGCTATGTCGTGACGTATATTGCATTTTCTGAAGCAATTTCCGACAAACAATGCAAAGAGTGTGCCTGGTGTCATTGTCACCCGAAAGTGGATGACTGTCATGGAATGCGAAGAGGACTCTGATGTGGAGCAGTCATGGGAAGGAGGTAGGGAAAATAGAGGTGATATTTTTTTCGCACCCTTCCCTGACTTAACGTAGAAGAACCTAGTACGTTAAACCAGCTGTACTACTGGCTGTAAAAATCGAAAAAAAAAACAGAAGACGCGCAAAAAAATCACTCCTTCCAATATGACCAATATGCGAGGTGGTAATAATTGTTATACGAAATTCCGACGAATGTCGTGATGTCTTGTGATGTCCTGTGTCGGATAACCGGAATTAGAACTATGTTCAAATAAATTTCCACAATATCTAACAGACAGGGTGATGAAATCTTGTAAGTAAAAGCAATGAAGAGAATACAAACCAATACAAAGACTGCATAACACAAAGATATCATTGTACCTACACAATGTACAGTGCCAAAGACTAGCCATATCTCCATGATTAACCCCAATGAAGCTTACAAAACTCCCCTCTAAACAACAAACTACGATATTCTTACTATTTGCTAAATACATTTCCCGTAACATATCCCCAACTCATCGATCTACCAACGAATTGACAGTAAAATTATTATCGAAGGCAACGACAAGGAGTTTGTTAGTTGATCACATTACTCGCTTTTTGTATAACTCATTTATCATTGCTTATCAATTCATCGTGTTATACACATACATATTTTATACCCTTTTTCTTGTTGTTAACTAGTAATATTGTGCAAGAACAATATTACACCCTGAATAAAGCTCTATCGCTGAAAAACGAATTCAACAGATTAGCTTCCTCGACATCTTGTGTTTTAAAGAACTTCGCGCGAAACTTGCATACTCATTTTGACAGACACTAAAGTAACGTGATAATTGCGGTATGCTAATGGTAAATGGTATATGTACGAGAGCAATTTATTCCAATATTCAATAGCGAAAATCGATTTGAATGTACGGCACATTTTCTATGTAAATTTAAAATTTTTTAATGTGAGAGATAAAACTAACGTCATCTGCTGGCTAGTAATGAAACATTTGATATAAAGTGTAACAACTTATGATAATGGTGCGAATCTATGCACGCTTTCTTCTTCAGTAACGTTTTTGCTGACAACATGCCGATTGAATTGAGGAGGTATAGGAAGACAAACATACAAGTAGATGGATGAGGCTTAACAAGGAAAACATAACGATCGTAAAAATCGTTTACTTTTCGCGAAGGCCATCCTTGCCATTTCTCTCAAATATGCAACCATCAACATTCCCCTATTATTCTCCCAGAATCTCTTTAGTTCTTAGAACTTTGGCTACGGTAAGGGATTTCTTTTTCATCGTTATAAGTCAAAATTATGTGTTAACAAAGAGAACAGAGATGAATCCTTTAAATTCAGAGGTACTCAGTTCCTTCTTTCAGTAATTTTATCTCTTTTCAAGTCATGTACAACCATCGCTGTGATGTGCTGTTTAATGAATGATCTATGGTATTACTACACTGTCCCAACGCTCGGATTCCTTGCTGCACTTCTTGCTGCACTTTTTCTTGTTTGCACCCTTATTCAAATTTTGAAATTCTCGAAAAACAAGATATTCCTACTATATCCAATGGTAAGCTTTGCTTGGAATCGTAGTAAACGCTAGAATTTATTTCTATCGATTTCGTCGAAGTAGATTTCAGCCAATTCCTTGACAATAAAGCTTTCTTCTCAATAGAATGAACAGATCAAACGTAGAGATTAGCATAAGCAGTTGCATACAAAACTGTGTTGAACATATAAAAGATTATACAATTTTGTTTGAAACTTACGGACTCTATAACTTTGTCGTTACTAAATATCGAAGATTATAAGAAGTATGAGAGATAAAAAACAGATAACGTTCTCTGAAATTATCCCAGTGTGGAGAACGGTTTCATATCAACTGTCACTATTTTTGGATTGAAGGTTCATTCAAGAAAGCTGGAATTTTTTTCCTTTTTAAAATGCCAGTACTGTCTTGTTTTCTGCTTCCTTTGTTCTCTGACTTTGATGGACTTTTCATTATCTTCGAGTACTTAAATCATATCTTCACATTTACCTTTACTGAGATAATTTTTGCGAGGGGTTTGACAAGTAGATTTCAACTACTTGATGAGGCCAAGGTTAGTTACTGCTTAGACATTTGAGGTTACCAAAGAAATTTAACTAGAGACCGATTTTACAGAAAATAGCGATCGTGATGATACCAATGTTTCTTTCCTTATTGGCTATGACATTTTTTGCTCTTGGCGTACGGGTATGTATTAATTTGTTTGGAGAGACTTGTTTCATACTCTACAATTCACCATCGCTCACCACTGCAATGGTTAGTTATCATTTATAAGTAAAATAAAAATTACCACTTATTGCAACGAGCTTTTGCCAATGTTATGTTCATTTCAGTAAAAGAATTGTACACTGTTTTCTAGATCTTCGCTGGCCTTTGCTTCTGCGTTTTGCTGATGGAGCTCATACTATTACTATGTGCGAACGAACTAAATAAAACAATGGATGGTGACACTCAAACTGGACCTATGACCAATCCGGATTTGAATTACGATAAAACTTCATCAGCTATAATCATTAATCCACAATTCAAGCAGGCGTTCATTGCTCGTCAGCCTCCGGTGCAAACAAATTTATAATTAGTAGAACTTTGTTACGCCGCGTTAAAATTAAATAATACAAAACCATACGTGCGTGCAACCTGATTTAGAATCTGTCCCAGTAGACAGTACATCAATCAGTAAACTAATTCGTTCCCAACTTCTAAGTTTATTGTTGCGAATCATGTCAGGTAGAATTCATGAACTGCAAAAAATCCTGTTTATGATTCAGAAACTGTGTTTGAAGATGATAGTCAGAAGCAACGAGTGTTACAGCTGTTGTCTTAAGGATAATCCGAACAACATATCTTGCATCCTTATTACAGTTTTCACTTCATTGCACAACTTAATGGATGGCTTCTCCATTCATCTGTTCGATGTTCCACATTATTCAGTTATGAAGCATTCTAAATGAAAATCATGTGATCTAATATTATTATGTAGCAACCCAGCATTTTCGCAACAGGATTCAAAAGAAGTTCTTGAATATCTCTAGACTGAAGGTATGGACTTGTGTTTGTGCCAATGAAACATCGCTAATATAGGATGGTAGGATACAGTAGATGAAAGATGCATCATCCCCATGAAATGAATTGCGTTAGAGACTCGCCACGCATGAAACAATAATAGCTTTTCCATGTAGAGAACATTGAAGTTAGTCCCACCACGGTCATGAAAATTTAAGACTGACCAACTTTGCAAAACAATCGAGGTACACTTTTAGCGACCTAAACTCACACGTAATAATCGATGAAAAATCTACAATGCATATCAACATATTTTTTGAGTTCAGCGTATTTCGCAAAATAATTTGTTGGAAAATGACTAGACGATCCAGTTTATCTAAAACCAAACAAAAAAAAACAGCATTAGTAACACATAATGATTGTAATCACTAAGAAATAATAATTGAACACACAGCTTATCGTTTGGTGATTCAGGCACCACTGATAATTTCGTTTATATCAAGAATTCTACGGGGAAACCATCAAGTTTTGAAAACAAAAGGGAAGTTCCTTAAAGTAGCGTTGAATCCAGCAGAATGAACACTTGTCTTACGAATGGTAAACAATGTGAATTATTTCGAAAATAAAATCTGTGAACGTAAAAATAGTTGATAACAATATGAAACGGTAACTGCGCACTGGACACTATCACATATGCAGTCCTGAGAAGCTCAGTTAACATGGAAATATTGTAATTATTGGACTGATTACACAAAAAGCATTACTTATAGACTAGAAATGAGAAAATATACGATGGATGAGTGAATCTTCTCGTATGATCAGTGCAGAATACTCATAATCCTTGACGACCTGACTATTTGTGTAAATGAATGGAAACGAAATGAGCATGTACAGAGGGAACGTCAACCAAGTGATTGGATAAAGGCTAACACACCATTGCAATACCAAACCATTATACCTCTAATAAAAATAATGCCTACCGTTTATAAAACACATTTATTCTAAAATATAAGGCAAGAAAAGAAACGGATTGAAAGACAGAAAGGAAGACGATTCTGCACATAGGTTCCTTGGTCACATCGAGCTTCATTTAGACTCAGAACCAGATGCGGTTAACATGACCATCAAATAAAGCTTGCAGGATAAGAAACTGAAAAACCCTTGAGATAAGCAAAGAGCTTAACGAATACTCGACAGCAGATTCAACTTCGACCGAACAACTTTTTGCTGCCCAATTTTGCTAAATACATGCCAGAAACGTAGGGTTTCATCACCAGCACCTGTCACAATTGATTCGCCATCCGGAGACATCGCCTAAAATAACCAGATGCACTAAAGTTGATTGCAGGAAGACTCCATTACCGATGTTCACTATCTGCAGTTTAAGATTACGGATATTTAAGGATTTTGCAAAGTATCATCATCATCATGAAAAAGGGCATTTCAAGAAATTAAAAAGAATGCTCGCAACACTCAGATTTTTGTGACGCAAAAATAAAATGAAACTGCCTTATTCTAGCCTCTAGCCCACATCGTACTATTTCGTAGCCCATATTTCATTGCCGTGATAATGCTTACCAAATACAGCACTCGGTACTGGTGCCCCGTAAGTTTCGTGACTGGTTGCAAAGACGGGTATTTCCATATGATAACTTGGTTATACGAATAACCATGTGTTGACACCAGCTCTGAACTGTGTTTCGACCACGCCACATTGCACACCTTCAGACGAAAGGTTTTGAAAATCTGGTCAGAGTAAAAAAAAACCAGAATGTAGATCCGAGGAACTGCTTGCTACCACCTTCGAGTTTTGCGATCATGTTTTATACAATCGTGAAATCAAACCAGATGAAAACAGTAAGACCAAAATTTACAAACAAAATTAAGAGAAATGCTAATTTGCCAATCCACAAATTGAGAAATGAAATTAGTAGTTCTCAAGTACTTCATCCAGTACATTGAAGTAAGAAAACTTTCAAGGGATGAAAAAGGATGCAAAATGCATACCTGGCTACCAGTATCGATACAGTGTAGGGACTGCCCCGTCAATGTATTCCAGAAACGAAGACATCGGTCAGCGGTGCCACCGCCAGAAACGAGAAGACCATGATGATGTGGAGACCACGCCAGTGCCTTCACTGCTGCATTATGCTCCGTGTATACCTGAATGTAAGCACGAGAAAATATTTCACGCAACTTCTTAATGTTATTGTCACTCGGCCAAATAAAACCCAAAATTTGAAAACACGTGCAGAATATTTAATATTCGAAAATTCTCGAAATGACAGTTTGCAATTAAAATCCAACCAACCTGACAAGGGTCATTTCTTCTCAAACTCCACACCAACACTTGATTATCATTGCCACCTGATGCCAAATATTGTCTATCAGGAGACCACTTCAACCCACAAACCTAAAATTTAGAAATGCGAAGACAGTTTTTGAAACCCGAACGATCAGAGAGGAATTAAAAAGTCGAAAACAAAAAAAATGGAAATGCAAATATATCCTTACTTCCTGTCGATGAGCATTAAGCCTTCGTTCAGCATATTGTGCTGGTTGACGGATATCTCTTTGTATAATGAAACGATCTCTAGAGCCCGAACATACCAAATCCGTATTCCATGCTAAGCAACCAATTCTTGATGAATGTCCAGTGAGCTCCCGAAGCTAAAATGTATCGCTTCAGAATAATAAAGATAATTTTTTAGACAAAGACGTTTCCAAAAAAGTGTACAACAAACCCTCTTCTGAGCATGAACATCCCATATCTGTGTGATGCCTTTATTTGTACCAACAGCCAGTAAATCACCTTTATCAGCCCACTGAACAGATGTTACACTGTCACCATCAGTTGCAAGATCGCAAAGTTTTACAACCTTAAAAGAAACAACGAACATTTCAATGTTAACACAGAGTAGTATGCTTTGTTTTCACCAAGCCACCAGTGGCATTTAGTAAAGATTCACAACTCTTAAGTTTTAATCAAAGTACCACGAACTTGACTGTTGCACGCACTCCAGAGATACACACAAGTATGTAATCCAACCGAAAGCATATTTTGCGATGACCAATCCACCAAATCCAGATAAAAATCATCTTGCAACTCAGGTGCATCCAAAACCTGAAAAAAAAAAAGGAAAACTGAAATTCCAAATGTTAGAAATGGAGGTGAAAATCCAAATAATGCAACGTGATTTTTACTACACAATCTGTTGAATTCTAGCCCACCTTATATGGATTTTTAGGTACTTTACGTTGTGGTTTGCGGGGCGATTTGAGAAGGCGTTGGCTCCCTTCGCTTAATGGAGGCCCACCAAACAGACAACGTGCAGCATGACTTGTTGATGCATCACCATATTTTGTTGGCGTTCGTTGTCCGAACTTGAAAAGACCACCGCTAGGACTATCGCGTAGCCGACCTGTATCGAAACCTTCAAGATCTGTCTGAAAAAGAACGATGCCAAACTTTCTTGCCATATATAACTACAATGAAATACCAGTGCAATTTCCATGCAACTGGTCCAATTTTTAAAGCAGATACCTAGCTTAAGAAACCCTAAAGCTCTCGCAGCTGACAACACAGGTTTTTTTTTTTTGGAAAGGCCGATTGCCTCGATGGAAATCCATATAATTATGTCACCAATGACAAATATGCTGTATGGACGGACTAACTGCCCTTACTATTATTTTGGTAAACAGAAAAGTGTAGCATGAAGAAACTTCTACTTTCCAATCACACATAAAAGGAAACAAACAAACTCTAATATCGTCAATGTTATCGCTTAGAAGTTCGTTTCTTAGCAGAGCTCGATGTGCTGCAGAATCCATACGAGAATCATCAATAGCACTTGTGGCTGGAGCCGCCTGTACATTTGCCACATTTCCGCTACTAGATGCACCGATCGACGTCCCTTGTATTCCCGTAACAGGTCTCTTGAAGAGATTAGGCGCATCCGGCGACGATGATGCAATTGCAGCGAATCTGAAAAGAACCTCCAATTTAAGCAAAGTATATTTCTTCCCCTCAAGAAATTGTGCAACCATCAGAAACGCACAAGAATCCTGAAATACTACAGTTCATATAAATTCACCATCATAGTGTTCCAACAATGCTTCAAAACGTCGCTAGTTAATACCTTGGTGAAGTAATGATTGGACGCTAATCATTGCTTCTCGATATAATCATTACTGCATGCTTGGAATGAAAGAATAATAGTATATATTATTCCCGCCTAGTTATCAAATAATTATTGATCGCGCCATTTCAGTGAAAAGTCTTTCCACCCAGAAATAAAAATCAATCACCTTGTTGCCCACTCTGCACTACTTTGTCGAATAGGTATATAACGATCACCGCCATCCGGGCGATATTTTGTTGGTGTAATACGCGGCGAATGTCCCTGAAATGAATCATGTCTTCCAATTTTTCAAATTCTGTTCTCCAAAATGTCATCCACAACTTCAAAAAACAGTGCCATTTCACGTCAATCCAGTAGACAGAAAGGGATCTTCATTATACTTTCAATGTAGGTACGAGTAAATGCCTTGCACATCTACTATCTTTACAATCAGAGTCGTGCCAGCGACTGTTTGGCACCCATTGAAATTTCCCAAGCAAAATCAAAGTCTGGAGTAGGCAACAATTCACTTGTGACTTACGAATGCAACACACTAACCTCACAAATCACCGCGTTACATAGCTCACTTCGCTGTAAACAACTGCAAGTTAAACGGGACGGAAACCATCAATTTCTGAAAAAAAAGTTGAAGTTACCTGTGCTTTTTGCGGTGAAGTTCCCGGATTATGTTGAGCCAAAAATTTCCGTTCATACTCGTTACACGGGAACATCCCGCTACGCTATGGCTGCAAGGAACACACGCTGACGTAGGTGAACGTGAGTGTCCGTAATTTTTATGTTAACCACACCGTGCAAACGAATGTGTGAAATTTGGCACAAGATTAAAAGCGGATAAAGGTATCCCGCACGATGATACACATACCTCCGTCGCGGAAAATCTCATGAGCAATCGACAAACATGACAGACGCACCCAACGCCGGCATACTACCAGAAGAACCCTGCGAAGTGCACGATCGATGAATGGCTTGTTGCCAACGCTCCTCTCTTGATCTCATGACTCTGTTCCGCTGATGCAGCACGTTAGCTTTTAAAAATTTTCATGTTATTGCTGGGTATGGTTGTGGATAGGGTTGGGATACATTTTTGCGGTAAGAAATCGCAATAGGAAAAGCAGTTAAAATGCTACTAATTGAAGAAAAATAAGTGCCATCGAGAAGTTGAAATTTTGCTTTAAATGATTTATCTAGGGTAGTACCTGTCACATTAGCTTAGCAAAGATACAAGGCGTAATATATCCAGAAACTATTCGGGATCGCAGATTATTACAGGTTATGGCCGAAGATAATTGTTCAGGGATAATAACTGGGGTTCTAGTGCGGGATTCAATTATAAACGGGCAGTTAATCGGTGGGACGGTGGAAAATGATCGTCGGGAAAAGTTGAACGAAGATTTCCAGCATCGATCCCCTCAAGAATTGGTACGAACGTGGGTGAAGTTGCTGAAAGATATTTGGATTGGGGAGGAAAAAAGGACTATTAAGGTCGGTTACTTTATTTTATTGGAACAAACTGAAGGAAAGTACTTCCAAATGGATTATACCGAACTGCTGAAATGCGAGTCTGAACTGTCTGAACTGCTTCTGAACTTCTGAAAAGTCTGAACTGCTGAAATCTTGCGAGTCATCTTTTACATCCATAACTTTCACACATCCGATATTGGCATACATTTCAAACTCCTCTACATCCTTCCATTTCAGCAGGAATTATGCCAATCAATCCTGAACGAAATATTCGATGAATGCGAAAATCCGATGGAAACTGCTCTTGTTTTGCACAAAGTTCGTTTAAAAGAATTGTATAAGACTAAACATATTATAAGATTATAGGACTAAACATCAAGAAAGTGTTTTAGGATGTAATCTTCTGTTTAGCTGCAATACATTTCAGTCATGTCCAGATTATGGGGCACAAAAAACATCAAGTTTAGCTGGTTTTGTTTTACGACATCTCGAGCAGTGGCTGCAAAAAACGGAACGAAACGATGAATTGTATGAGAGGCTAGATCGGAATGTGAAGGTTTTTTTAAAATTTTTCATTTGATTTGAAGAATCAGTGATAAAATCGACTTTATTTACATATGTTAATGTTATGCTGTATAAGACCATTTTGTGTGCAAGTTATTCCGAAACGATTTCTTTATTGGATCAGTACAGTTTAATAAATCATATGACAAAAAACAAAAAGAAAACAAATGGAATAACGAAAATCAGTTTTGTATGTAAATATCATTTTGAGCAATAAATTTTAAAGCTCATCCTAACAAATGCAACAGATTGAAGCTTTCGCTGTCGGCACAAACAAACATACAATGCATCTGGAACTTATCACCAGTATATTTCAACTGAAAAGTGATGATATGGCAGACCATATTCTTCAGGCGGTAAAAGTCAGTTTTTGGCAGTAAACACTGAGTAGTCTTTTTCAGAAATTCAAAGTGCTATATCGCTTTTGTGTAGAGAGAAGATTTCTGTTTCACTGTTGTACCTTTCGGAAAGGTTTATACTATCAATGTTGTTTTTATGAAAATTTTGCTTATTCAAGTTCTGCAAAAATCGTTTTTGCTTACAAGCCCAGGTGTGTCCCTGATCATATTTGTCTATGTTTAATTTCACATAGCTCTATATTTGCATAATTTCTGGTTGGTTAAATGAGTAGCATTTATTTTCTTTTTTCTTCATATTTACCGAAACACGATTATTCAGGATATGATAGCGATGGCAAATTATCGTGATGCTATCTCCTGTGCAACGTTGTTTGGACTGCAGTCTCATTTTGCACTTATTGAATTAGTTATTCCATGCATGCTGCAGGATCGTTTCACTGCGGTTGACGCATTCATCAAAAATGAAAGAAAGATACAGGAAGAACTTGTACGATATTTTGACAGTCTTGTTGGTCTCGATGAACGAAGTTAGTTTCTGATTTGCTGTTAATTCTTAACATTTTTTTTTTCCTTTTTGAAATCAAATTAGCGAGCGTGACTAATGTTTGATGTTCCCTTATGACAGCGTAAAGCTGCAAAGAGCAGAACGTTTTGCATATGTATAGTTGTAATATCTATTATTCAGTCTTGGTCAGCCATGTCGGGAGCTTGGTGTTTTAACTTCTTTGGGGGAATTGCCTGCTAATTCAATCAAAAAGTCTTGTTATGGAATAAGGAATATTATCTTGGAATGGTTGCAATTACGACGGGAGTTTAATGATTTAGATTTCACAATATTTAAGTGTGTGCTTTTTCTATTTTTTGGAAGTCGAAAGTTTTTAGTATTTTCGTTTAGCAGTTGTTCATCGTTATGAGGATTTCCGTAGAAGGAAAATTATGACCATTCCAATATCAAAGCTACAAAAGAAGGCTATTGAAAAGCTTGTCGCCAAACTGTTGGCAACATATAATTTATCATCGCAGGAAGTGGCACCAAATTTATTCCGGTTTAGACGGGAAGGTGCTCTCAGACATATCGCTTTTATGTATTTCGTTGAACATGGTATCACCGAAGAAGGATATTTTGATTATGTAGCTGTAAGTGTCTGTGTGGTCCATCAAAATTTTGAATTTAGTATACCAGTTGTCATTAACTGTTGGGTAGAAGGGACAATATGACTTGCCTCGTTCATTATCTTCTGAAGAAAAAAGAAATGTTTTTTTTAGTTTTTTTGCTGCTAAATTTGACAAAAAATTTTCGAAATTGAACTATAAGGTTAAGATTTCCGAAGGAACAGTCCCGTAATATTTTCTCTTCATCTGGTTCATATAGCTGCTAAATTACTTGCTTGAAAATTTGAAATGAATACATATTTTCCAGCAAGCTTTACAATCGGACTTAGCCCTGCAGAGATATTTCATTAATTACCTCTGTTCAAACGGATGGTTCAGTGATGCTGTTCGATGGGTTGTTTTTTGCAACATGATTGATTGTGCTCCTCACAGTTTGCAACCTTACTTGTGCAATAATACAGTCCTTGAAGCTCAGGCTGATTTAGCAAGGCACAAGCTTTTGAAATTTACACTTATATTCATATGAATCAATTAAATTTTTTGGCGAACCTTCCATGATTGGCTCTGACGTAAGATGTGTATTACTAAATGATCGATATATTCCTGTTCATATTGAGAACCTACTTTGTCTTTCAAGTATCTAAAGCTGCTTCGAAACGGTTCCTTTACAGAATCATATCGGCGAGAGCGAGTGTTGCAAATGTGGAACTGTTCTCAGGTCATCCTATCAAAGTGATTGCAACTCCTGAAGATTTGGAGAAGCTTTACCCCGTTATTGAAGAAGCCGACTTGATTGGAATAGATACTGAGTGGAAACCCTTGTTTATGTGCACAAGTGAAAGAGTAAGGATTATTTTTGATACCTGAAGTCTCACTACTTTTTAATGTTTTTTGTTTCGTAGTTCAACATTCTGATATTAATTGTGTTTATGTTGCAGCTAAAAAATTTCTGGGAGATCTCCATAAAATCTTGATGGAGCTATTAATCAGCAAGATCTTTTCTTTTTCAACCCGCTTAAATGTAATATGTTCAGAAAATGTTTCAGGTAGCACTTTTTCAAATTTGTGTTCGACGCTGCAGCTACCTTGTGGATGTTATCACTTTGGAAGACGTGCTCACGAAGGAACAGTGGACCCAGTTTTTCAAAGCTTTGTTTTCTGATAGTCCTGCAATAAAATTAGGTCTGCGAAAGATCATGTAGCTTTTTTTCGCAAGATTCTTTTTTATGTCTCCAAGTGTTAAACAGTCCTTCATATTCGAAGAGATTGTTTTGTGACATTTAAAAATATGGACACTTTTGAAGAAACTTGTAATCCAGTAAATTTTTCGTCATGCTGTATTCTGCAATTTCAGGGTTTGACTTTCTAAACGATCTAAGGGTCTTGCATGCTTCTTTTCCTTATCTACAACCTTTGGAAGAGATGAAAAATGTGATTTGCGTATTGAAGCTGGTGAAAAACGTATGTTATTCTCCTTCCAAATATGCTTATAAATTTTCAGATTCTTTCCTAAATTCACGTTTATGATGATTTCAGCTTCTGACTTCGAATCCAGCATTTCTTGACTTCGGCCACTCAGGTATGATATTTGTGTACTGTTAATTTCCACTTTCCAATTTTTGCGTTCTAATCAGTATTCTGTTTGTGTTATGTGGATTTCATACAACAATAGGCACTATGAATGGCCTTTAGATCAGAAATAATAAAGTAGTTTTTTTTTTTTTCAGCTAACCTTTCATTATCAAGCAGAAATGAAAATTTATTGGATGCAGTTTCTGATGAAACAGTACATTTCCGACTCACTGATCTATGTCAAATGGTACTTGGTGAGGCTTTGGATAAAACAGAGCAGGTTCCTTCTCACTTTTTAAATTAGCAAAAATAAGCGAAATATTCTTGTCATTCTTCTTTCGCACGTCCTTAGACGTTAAAAATTGTTTAGATAGGCAACTGGGCTATGCGCCCTCTTCGTCGTGAGCAGATGAAATATGCAGCTATGGATGGTTATTGCTTACTGGATCTTTACGACAAATTAAAGATAAGAGCTGAAAGGTAATTTTTTCGAATTTATCTCATAAACTATGAACTTAAGCGCTATTTTGGCCTAACGGAATTGTAGAGAATACAATATGGATTGGACAAAACACTGCAAGGAATGTGATGTAACACAAATAAAGTCAAAGGAAGAGAGGAAAGCCAGAAAGAAAGGAACCAAATTAGACGACAAGGAATTTGAACTAATGATCGAGGTTTTCTCTTCATTGTTTGACCCTTCAACATTTCTAATGTTTTGATTAATGTTCAGTGTTTTGATGTTTTCAGTAGTATTTAAACATTGCTGATGTTTGGTACTTTTTAGAAGGACTGTGATATACTTTAGAGGTTTTTGCTTAATCCAAGCCATTCTACCATTTGTAAAATTCATTATGCTCAACATGTTTCTTATTAGCTTCTTTTTCAGCGTGTAAATTGTGGCCTAAATGATTCGCAAATGAAAAGGAAACCAGAAGATCTGAAGATTATTGTCGATTCAATGATGCTTGGTCTGGGTAAACACCTCAGAAGGTAGTAAGTTGTTTCTAGAATTTTTGTATTCATTTAGTTGAAATTAATTCGATTATTTCAGTGTATAATGAATATTCTTATTTTAGGTGCGGTATTGATACGATATTAGCGGAAACGAGAAGTTATTTGATTGAGTGCGCAGAAAGAGATCCAAATCGATATATAATAACGTGTGGGAAAGCCATAGATGAAGTTTTTTTTTGGTGCTATGAAATTAGGCCATATTGAGTGCCACCTTTGCTATGAGCAAATAGTTCTGTGAATAGTGATATAAACTAAAAGTGTTTGCCTTCATATTCCAATTCATTCTCCATAGTGAAAAATTTCCTTTGGTTAGCAGAAAATGGAAAGTTAAAGAAAATGTATGGCAGATATCTTTGGATGTTCAGACAAGAAATAGTGATCATCCAAAAACTACGGGAAAAAATGTCAAATCATAGAAGCAATATTGAATAATTTTCGGAATAAAATTTCTACTTATTTAAAGCATCTTTTTTTTCGCCTTCGAAAAATAACATAGATTCATAAATGAACTTTAGCTTCGAAGACATCGCTCTCTGAGAGGAACGCTGCGTATACTGTCTATCCCAAACGCTCAAAATATGAACATAATTCAGCAGATCGAATTTGTCTTAAGACAATTCAATGTGCATTTATCCAAAGATGACGTTTTTTCACGCTGCATGGTAAGTTGTTTTAACAAATTCAGCAAGAAAAGATGTGTTAAGTTGTTCCGGTTTTAATTTATAATGCATTTTATACAACGCTATCGAGAGTTGAACGATATCTAAATTTATGTTTGAAGTGGTAGAAGTTTAGATAGTTTAAATCATTCTGTTTAATTCACTGTTACTAAATGGATATGAAGTAATGAATCTTACACTTTTTGTTGTTTCTTTCTTTTGCACAATTTTTTTAATATATAACTGTTTGGGTAGAATTTCAACTTACTATGATAACAGTCTTCACAGTTTACTTGATTACCAAATTGATCTTCTTTCTTTTAGAAATGCAATTCGAATTCCTTCGTGATCGCTCCATCTCCCGTTTTAGAGGCAATGCATCAGGCAAATATTGCCGCATCGAATCCATTTAACGATGACCCTTATGATGCCTCAAAATATAATGAAAAAATGCGAGAAGTGCGCACATTTGATATTCCAATAGTGCTTTTGAGATAGATAGTTGTTATCTGCCTAATATGCTTTCAAAAGTGGTAAAGAATCATTGTGCAGTTTGTTTTCCATTTTCAGGTTGACGCGGAAATGTATTCGGGCTACGGATGCGATTTAGAAGCCAGTGAAAGTGATCGCTCATGGATCGTAGCACACTGTCATAATGGTATCTTAGACATCAAGTAAAATTTCCTTAATTATTCAATGCATTCGTATAACTATATCTTATTTAACATATTTTATGCAGAAAGCTGATCGTTGCAGGAATTGTCTGGTCACTGCTTTTGGCTGTGATGTGCCAGCTGAAGTTAAAATAGAAAAAGTGCCTTTGCAGATTTTGGAAAAAAAAGGCAGGTCAGCATTTTTCCCTTTTTTTTTGTTGTTTTTTGATTCACACAACCAGTATACAATATAATAAAATACAACTAGTATTTTTAAATCCGTATGTAGGATTCATGTTTCCATAAAATCTCTTTTGAAGAGTTGGTGAACTTACCTAAGAGCTCGGCTTTGAGCTTGTGCATTCAGATCTTTCTTAGAATTTGAAATTGTAAAGTGCAACTGTTTAAAGTTATGAGTTTTCTATTATTTCAGGTTTTTTTACATCTGTGGTGTTTGTGGAACAGTATATTGGGATGGTTGCCATATTGTTAATTATAATGTATTTGTCGAGCCCCTTTTGGCTGAAGAGAAATAAAGGGAATATCGAATGGGGCATGAATTTTTCTTTGAAAACTTCTTATCGATTTAATGTTCAAAACGCGAACTAAAAAAGAATTCAAGAAGTGCGAAATGTTCTCCGAGAAGTGTTCTCCCTGTCGAGTTTGGAACGATTCAGCTCCTGCGATTGCGTTTAAATGATTTTGTCAATCTCTTGCTCAAATTTTAAAAATTGCAATAAAATTATTTTTAAAATTACGTGGGAGCAGGATAAAATCAAATTTTTTCATAATTGAATGGAAAGAAGAGTGAGCTTATCATGTTGCATAAATTGGAATGGCATCCGAAGTAGGATTGAATGGTATCAAAAATACAAAAGTATTCGAAATTGAGTAAACTCTTATTGCTGATAGTTTTCACTTTTTCGTGCGGTCGCGCGTACAATTTTTATCATACAAATAAACATTTGCAAACTTATAATTGTCAATCCTACACCTAGACACGGCCTCTCCTAATAACAGGCACATATTCATCCTACTATCCTTTTTAATGTCGGACATTCAGTAAGCGTTTTGTTAATTTTGGTAGTTTCTTTTGTTGGTATTTATAGAAGGTCTTAAAACTCTCTCAACTTCTTCCGCTTGGTAAAGCTTGGATACATCGTCTCGCGATAATTTGTTCGTGAAAAACATGAGAAAAGCTGGAGTTGGAGTTGAATGTTTAAGATTAAGTTCCACAGTCAAATAAACTCCCACTTACGCCCGATGCTTTCTTTCTGGTCCGGAACAAAAATTTTGTAAAAGTAGGAGAAATTCTTAAAATATAAGGGATGAAGTTTTTTAAAGGGGTAAAACTGAACTGATGAGATATCTCAGGTCACATGGTCTATTCAATTTGCAATTAGTAAGCAGTAGTATTGGTAACGCACTATTCGAGAATGCACTATTTGCCGCTCCTGCTAGATTCAAATTTCCTAATGCTAGTAACACTAGCAATGGTAATGGGAAGCAATGCTCAATCACTTTTAGGAATGTGCTCAACATGAACAAGGTTAGAAGAAACTGATGAGTCCCTTTTGAGCTTTGTTATGCAAAAGGAATTTTCAAACAAAAGACACCCTGTCAAATGGGTGGATTTCATTCACGGAAATAAGCTTAGGTTTTTATAGAGAACAATCCTTTCACATATCAAAGATCAAAAGGCGGTAAAGTTCATGAAATAATATGCAGTAATAAAAACAGGTCGCTGTATTTCGAACAAATGAACTGAATCTATGAGATTGCTGATTATTGCCGTTACGCTGTAAACAGGTGGAACGAGTACGTTGACTTTGGCATCCTTTGCAGATATTGTCAAAATTTGACGATTTCTCACCCAATAAAGGAACAAGCAACGATATTAATAATGGTGAATCAGGATGGGAATTCTGGAGCCGAGTGTACGATGACCCAGTGCTAAAGTCGCAAATAACTGATCGCTTCCATGTATTCCACAGTTTCCAATTTAACTCAATAACTATGTTCATTACTGATTGATGATAGTATTACAATAACTATTCAAACTTCACAGATACTTTTTCGCTTCCATTTTAGAATGCACCAACTGTATCAGAGATGTTAACAAGCGAAAAACTCATTCGCGCGCAACTTACATTTCTAAATGTACCACGAATCGGTGCTGCTTCCCAGCAGGTAATTCTATTTCTGAAACAAACTTGGAACTATTGATCTGTATTAGAAGTAACCGCCAATTTTTCAGCGCTAAATTCAGAAGGTTGAAATAATAGAGTAAGCACTTTTGCTTCTCTTTTCTGCCTCTTAACAGCATCTGAATTTAGATTATTCGATCTCTTATCGAAAGCGAATGCGGAAAAAATATTGCTATATTCGATATTGCCATCAGTAACCGGCGTTGGTTGGTTCCTTCTTTTTATTTTTTCTTAAGCTAAACCACTATTTTACAGAGTGCTAGTGTTAACATACATCCAGCCAAATATGTAAAAATTTGAAACAAAATTCAAAAATTCAAAAGTTTCCGGTACCTAATATTCACATATTCTGAAACCAAATTTTCAAAAATGGTTATCAAAATATTTTTTTAGGCGTGTCCGCTTCTATCGCTGCGAAGACGCTCTGGAAGTTCACCGGGCCTTTGACGGTTACCGTTTTCGAAACCGATTCTTGTCGGTTCGTTATGAGGATTATGTTACTTGTAAGGTAAGGCTTGCTATAGAGGGATAACAATTTTATAGCATATATAAAAGTAATCCTTTTCTCTGATTTATTCAGATTTTTGAGTTGGAGAAGCAACCAACCGGGTCGGAATTGGAGTCCAAAATAGGCTATCCATCGGATATGAATATTTCCTCTAATATCGAGAAAAACACGTGGGATGCTATCGAATCTACCCAGATTAAACTATTCAAAAAGTACATCGTACCTACCGAAAACTGTTGCTTAGAGATAAGAATAAAATAGTATATCTGTGGATTATATCAGCAGAAAGGAACTGAGATGATAGGATACCTTCGAATCGAGGGAAGTACCTCAGGACAGTAGTAGAGTAGTAATGGCTTTATTAATGAACGCTTATAATTAATACTTATTCCAATACAATATTTCGGCATTACAGTCAGATTCTACTGAGAATGGTAGTGGCTGAAACAAAGAAATAGCTTGTCCGTAAAGTAAAATACGGTGTAGAATAATACACGATCATACTGGCGTTGCCGAATTGTTATCAAGCGGTTTATGAATTGAGTGACTTAATTTTTAATCAAAAATTTCGATTCCAAATATGCTGTAGTTTTTACATCCTCACATTGATTTTATACGTAATTTTAGTGATTTGATAAGACTGCTAGAAAATGCGGGCAAAAATAATCCAGGCATTTGTATCGATGACCCGCGTATCACACAGCTCAGATCTTGTGAATCAGCGCTTATCGAGGCAATGCTAAAACAATGGCCTGTTGGTCTATTTCGCATGTGTGCTCCGCAGGTTTGTATTCTTTTCCAGGAGGCTCAAGTTCCTAGAAATTCTGAATCTCCATTTCAGGTTTGTATGACCGGAAGATACCTTAGCTTGGGTCACCAAAGTCAAAGCTCTGTGTTAAGCAAAGTCGATATCGAGGTATGACTTCAGTTTTGAGCTATTTGTTTTCATTTTTGTTTGAAGTGGTGGGTCGTTTAGAAACTTGTAAATGAAATTCGTTAATAACTCCTCCTTCATTTGATGAAAGGATGACACACTAAAAAATGTCCATCCTAGCATATTTGTATCCAGATAGATTGATACCAAAATGTAAAAGCGAAATTAATAGGATGAGTGAAGCACAAACACGAAACAGATAGTAATTATCTTTGCAAAAAAATGCAACGTTCTGAATCCTAAAAGCACTATCACCTAAATATTGCAGTCGTACCCACGGATATACGTCGAGACATGGGAACCTCTTGCGCCAACAATAATTCACACCAAGTATCATCTAGTGGATTACTCTTGCGCCCTTTTGCGTCATTTCGGTGCGCAACAAATACAAGTGGACCTACCATGGCGAATTCTAACGACCCTTCTTCCATCCAGTGCAGACTGGCCACAAGATTCTGTAGAACTAATGAATTTGGTGGGAATTTTTTCTATCTCGTTAATATGTCTGAATTTTGCCGCAAATTTATAGCTTAAAAAATTGATAAGTGAAGGAATTCAAAAAAGTAAAAGGTCAGAAATCAAAAATCAGTATCAGTTTCCTGCATTTACCCTTTGCAGGTAGCCAAATTATCGCCTCATACAAGCATATTTGGAGGAACGTTATTCCTAGTGACTGACGAATGTCACAGACGAGCACTGGCGGAAAAACTGTTACATTTACCGGAATGACGCAAGTCTTATACCATTGAGATTTTTCGTGATATAGAACCATTTAAAATTATTTATTTCGATAACGCAACTGTCGCTTATGATGTAGATGTTAAATAGCATTTTTATACTTTCTTGCATCTTATCTCTATTCCGCTAAGAATATATTTAGAAGGCCGAGAAGAGGTGAACGGAAGAAGCAAACGGTTAAGACATTTGATTTACGTCATCGTCCTGATATTGGCTCGATAATTTGTGGCTAGCGAAAATTTGTCGACATTTATTTCTATTCCTTAAAGATATACATGACAGCTTAGCAACATTTTATTAAACAATATAAAATGGTACAAAGTTCATCGAAAGTCGATATAGAAGAAATATTGTTAATACATCAAAATTATTATTACGCGAGGCTATCTTCTGACCGAGATGGTACCAAATCAAATTCTGGCATTTTAAGAGGTACTTCATAGAGTGTATCATCTTCCGGATCTGCTCGGCTTCGTTTTGTCTTCCTACAATTCATGAACTGTTGAACTATTGCCATATTACATCACGGTCTGAATGATGTTCTTAATTACCAGGCTAAGAAACAAAAGCCACTTTTAATTCAATCTCTACGCCTCGACTCGCGCTGATTGTCACAATCTGTCTACCTACCGGCTTTTGAGCACTAGATAAGCAAAGCAAGAATTGCTGAAACATTCAAAAAAAAAAAAAAAAACAATGATAATAGAATTCGATAGGGAAGAGAAAAAAAAGGGGGAAAAAAGTAGAGAATGCCTGTCGTCTACAATCTACTATTCTCGACAGAATCCCGTTATGATCATTTCTCCCAACTCTTTTTTCCATCAAAACTACTAGATCAAATGAATGAAAATGTGATGAGAAAAGACCAACGTCCGAATTTGCAATTGTCTGCCGTCATTCACCATATATTTCTTGTTCAACTTCTCATCTAAATGCTTATGCCCTGAAATATTTTGAACTTGAAACATATCGTTTAATATGAATTATTTCCCATCAATATAAAAATGAATTATTTCCCACGCTCTTTACCTTTATTATTGTCACAACTTTTCTCTGATCTATGCTTATGAAGTTTATTCCTTTTCGATTGGTTCCAGCTACTAATAGCTTCTTCATTTGGCTCCATACTCCGTGATATAATTGTTCGGATTTTCAGATCGGTACTATGTTTGATTGGTGGTTCTGGTGCACTGCTTCCCACCTCATCATTCAGTTCGTCAGTCGAAAATGTCACCCTGTTAAGGGAACTAACTTTCGCTCAGAAATGGACAATATACCATGCATAAGATATAAGAAAACTCCATCTAGAATCAGATACAGACAGCGAAAAGTCGAATAAGTTACCTTTCTGCAAGTGCTTCTTTATTGCTTTGCTCCGACTGCAACTTTTCTATTGCTGGTTGGCCTGCTACCTGGAAATTGCTCTGACAACTTTCTATTTCTTATTCAACTTTATTATTTATTTATTTTCATCTTTTGGAAAAAATAATGCTTTTAAATTCTCAAATCAATCATTCCGTTAAAATTTTCTTTTCATTTGCAGAATCCAACAGTCGCTTCTCATTGAAAGAATTTTCTCGCAAGAATTTCATTAGAATATCATTCGTCCACTTCCTGAATCAGAATTAAAGGCAGACAGACATCTGAACCTCAACTTGCATTTTCATTTGCATCAGATTTTGGTAACTTCGATTTCCCTATTTTTGCATGCTCGCCTTGCTTACTAGACTGACAACCCATTTGTTTAATTATTTTCTATTGGATCACCCTCCCACCAATAAAGCAAAATGGTAAATAACGATGAGCATGTTCTTCAGTAATTTATGTACACACGGCCTTTACTAAGATCATTCGTCCATATTATTCAAATTAAGATCTTACAGAAACCATTAAGTCATAGAATGTAAGGAAGCTGAGCACTCTCAAGCTCAGAAACTAGGACCAAGCCTCGTGAAATATACATCAAATTGAGCAGTATCAATCCAGAAAATAAATCAAAGAGAGGAGGTGATGCATAAACGACAAAAGACATACAAAAATAAATTCAAGTAAACAACGTTTGGAAAGAAAAATTCACTATTACTCACATTTGCATTTTGAATGAAATATGAATAGGAGAATGTTATGAAACACAACTACGTGACAAAATTCAATTTCTTTTCTAATAATTGATGGTTTGCCTTTTCGACGTCGCTACAGCTAAAAAAATGTTTTTCTTATACGATTTCTTTGTTGCTCGATAAATCTCTTAGCGGTTGACACCTTGCTAAAATGGCATGACCAAAAGATGAAGGCCTGAAAGAATACACATTCTGGTTCTCGAACTCCTCATTGTCGAATATCTCGAACGTCGCAAATGATGATCAGATTGAATTCGGTTAATGAAGTAGAGATGTACTCTTCAAATCGTAAAGATAAAGTCAAACATGTTAACACTAAACTGATCATGATAATAAAAACCTAAAACGAACAAGTGGTTATGACGATGGCGTGGAAAGGAAAAAACCGCAAGGCACATATGGAGGAAACTGATACTTACAACGAAATGTTTGAATAATTCTTGAATCGTTTTGATTAGATACATCAAAGGATTCTTTATTATTTTTGAAGGAGTTTTAGAGACAAGTTCAAAACAAGGACTTCTTCCTGAAAATTCCTTCAAGAAAAGTGGCCTAATATACACCTGAAAAAGAGTAACCTATTACATACCACTCACTTTATTTCTTTTCAAAAATTGTTGGTGAATGGTCAACAATTTTCCCTTATTTCTTATTTCTTTTTCTTATTAATTATTTCTTCTCTGACAATTGCAGTGAACTATATCGATGACATCGTGAAAAAATGAGAGGCAGATTAAATGGAGTAAGTCTTGCAAATGAAAATTACTAGCGATATTTCACTAAAATCTTCCATATATCGCCAAAGCGGGAAAGACTAAAGGAAAAACCGGCCGAATATATAGGTGCTGCAAAATCAGAAACCGGACATATATAGACACTGCGAAATCAGGAACCATTTTCTGTAGCGCTGCTGGACAGCAGATTAGTTGTTACATGGAAAGTATCTCTTTCCACAATTAGAACAAACCAAAGCATTCGGTACATCCGCATTGTAATTCGACTCCAGTTGTTGTGAAAAAATTATTCTTTCTTTTTATTGAGTCGTTTAGATTTAGAAGGTTTAGTCTTGAGTTAGGATCAAGCAGAACTTTAATTGAAGGCTTACCTTGTGAAGACGTCGAATATACGTTGTGAGGACACAGAGTAAAATTTACCGCTTTATTGATATAATACAGAGTTGGTCAGTGGGATTATTGAAGAATCACGAGTAGAAAATCGCTTGACCGTGAGTCAAAGGCAGTTGTAAGTAAGAATACTATGGAAGAGCACTAGTCCAGGAAAACCTTTTTACAAAAGGGTTTATATGTATAAAGAAGTAGGAATGGTTTACATAAAACGTTAAAAGAGGGTATTCATTTAGACACAAAGGAAACTGTAAAGTTCCAATTACATAATAAGCGTTGTAACAGGATCAGATGGGAAGGCTAGCATGTAAATTGGACATCCTTTGTCATTAAAATAAAGATGTGGATTTTTGTTAGACAAAGATAACAAAAGAAACGTATGGGAGATAATTTTAAAGAATGTAAATTGGTGAATGAATGCAGTGATGAATCATTAGAAATATTCTAAGCATTTAATGTATAAATTCTTTCGGGTTTTTCGACACCAGTCTTAATGTACAAAATTACTGTGTGTGATTGGAGGGAGGCAAACGCATGGTAGTGAATAGTAGTACTGGAAGTAAGCTCATTTGACAGTTGAAAACATTACAATACTGGGATCAAATTCGAATTCAGTTACTGACCAGGAATGAAACAAATTTCCAT